GCGGACAGACGGGCCGAACGAGAATTTCGAGCAGAGTATATGGATATCTGGGACGACGGGGAGTTATTTCTTAATGAATTATTCGGTCTCTCTCCGAACGTATGAACCTAATGTTGCAGAGGATGTACGCATGTGGGAATGTAAGTTAAATATTTAATTGGTATAAATATAACTTTTAAAAAATATGTATATATTTATCATTTTACAGGAAGCTGCGGCTTGTTTTGCGAGACGTCACGCTTACACACACTGTGGTGTTATAGAATAATAAAGTATAATAAGTATCATTATTATTGTTCTATAGCATGCTCACACACACTCCCAACCATATATTTATAATTTGTAATATTTTAAGTAAAAAATTAATAATATATCGTTAGTGTCATACTACACATTGTGGTATAGTAGCGTGCTCACACTCCACCATATATGTATAAATAAATTAAAAGTAAAAATTTATATTATAATATGTATCACACACTATAATATTGTAGCGTGTTCATACACACTCCACTATATGTATAAAAATAAATTAATAAAAATTATTAATATTATAATAATATGTATCGTTAATGTTACCTTAATTTGTACAGTATCCAGAGTCATCCGACATGTACTCCATATCATCGATGTTCCCAATATTTTCGAATTCTTCAAATTCAGCGAAAACCTCATCAACGATATGAAGTAGACGTTCTTCTGGTATATTTTGTACGATATTAACAATGTTTTCCATCACTGCACACTGTACACTGCGCAAGTTTCAAATTAGATTAACTGTCCGTGACAGCGCGAGTGACAATATATTATACGATCAAGCAGAATTTTTTCATTTTTTCCTTGAAAGGTTATAGACCATTTCCCTTTCCTTTAAAACTATATATATAAGTAAATGTAGTATATAAAGGTAGGGTAAATAAATAAAAGTGTTTTATAATTAATAGAATAGTATTTATTATCGAATGGTGTACATAATTAATGCTCTCCGAAACCAGAGCGATCAACTCACAATCGAGGATGTTATTGCGGTCGAAGGATTCGTCATGATACATCATTTTCAGCATGTTCGCAGATTTTGTGACAGTGGACGCGATAGCGAGAAGTCGTGAAAATTTTTTGTCAACGTTATCAGTCATTGCGGTTAAGGAGGAAATGAGACGATTCACACAGTATTCAAGGTTAAATATATTAAATACAGTGCTTTTCGACATGGATAGACGAGCTGTACTTGTTTCTAAGCGCAGTATTGGTAGATTATTGATTCGTCCGAAGCGTAACGTTAAATTTCCGATATACAATGGAGACGGCGTCGCGCGTATTCCTCTATTATCCTCATCGTACTGCAAAAGGGACAAAATGACGTGTTTTTGTTCGAGAAGCTCTTTCCAGATGTCCGGTGAAAGCGGAATCTCTTTACCGTGAGAATCTCCCAAAATGATAGTTACGTAAGAAGGGAGTTTGACATTAATACCAATGTTCAAGTATTTGTAGCCAGTTACGGTTAACAGATATCTTCTCTCGAGAATGCGTACGATAGAACGATGTGTGATTTGATGTCTGAAAGAAAAAATAAGTGAATGGAAAAAAAAGGATGCAAAGAAAAAAACACTTACTTATTTTATGTGTTTCCATTATTAAGATTTTCATCATCGAATGGTTTCTTCACACCTCCTTCGTTAAGATTGTTCTGTTCCATGAGATACTTTTCAATATCCGCGTTGTTGAGCATTGGTGTGTATCCTTACAGTATTATCCTCACGATCGAACACGTGGATGTTGTTGGAATGACTGTTCCTTGTATACTAATCGTTTAAAACTATTATAGTATTGATTATATATGTCCTTCCATCTTTCCCCTCTCCT